TCCTCTCACCCCTCCTGGGGGCAGATACAACACTGAACTCCGATGTTGGGCCCAGAAAATTGTTTCCATCCTACAGGTTTTCAGAAACAGACTCACAGACATAGAAAACACACTTATGTTTACCAGGGTGGAAGACGATGGGAAGGTTTAAATGGGGAGTTTGAGATTTGCAGATAATAATATATATAAAATAGATAAAAAGCAAGTTCATACTGTATAGCACGGGGAACTATATTCAATATCTTATAGTAACTTATAGTGAAAAAGAATATGAAAATGAATACATGTATGTTCATGTATGACTGAAGCATTATGCTATACACCAGAAATTGACACAACATTGTAAACTGACTATACTTAAATTAAAAAAATATATATATATACATACAAATAAAAAAAATCCTACAGGTTTTGCCTGAGCACAGTCTCTTTTACATTTTTTAATTTTTTATTTTTTGGAGTGTGTGTGGCATTTTTATTGAAGTGCAGTCGATTTACAATGTTGTGTTAATTTCTGATGTACAGCATAGTGATTCATTTGTATATACAACAATGACTCTTGAAATACTTATGTCCAGGCTCTGATCTCCTTCTGGCCTTCTTTCAGATCCTGAAGATGACATATCCATACACACACATGCCTCATCTCCCTGTATTTCTCCCCACGCCCCTGCAAATAGTCCAAATCCACAGCACTCCACCATCGTGTAAATACCTAAATCCACAAGCACAGACACTTCCATTCACCTTGGAGATTGTGGTCCCTGAAAATTATTTCTGAGGTAATTAGATCTAAGGGTGAAGATTCATCTTTCTTAGAAAAATTGGAACAATTGGGTGAGGGATAAATTACCCCATTCTACTGTACTTCCTAGGCTCCTCGGCATCGTAGATCTTGGTCGCCACCCCTTCCCCCTCCCCCAGGTCATATCCATACATTAGGCATTGGTTAATCTTTCAGGAAACAGTGCGTGCCAGAGCTGAAGCCAAGGATGAGATTAACATCTGTATGTTCCTGTCTTTATGAAAGTAGCATTTTGCATATTCCAAGTCCTGTTAGTTGATCTGTGTGGTTGAGAAGCCTGTTTCTCCCCACCCCATGGCATCTTTGTAATGTAGAATTCTTGAAATAGAGTTTAGACCACACAGGCAGCCCTCAAGGGACAGACAGGTTAAAGTCCAACAAATGACTTTATACACTGGTTTGAGGTTTCCCACAAAAGCATTGTCTTACAGGATATTTGCCTCTGGCTAGTCTGCTTATAATGTGCCTGACATACCACACATTTTCATAAAAAATAGTTTGAAACAATGTTGGGAATGAGTAAATCAGGAAAGGAATAGTTTGAATAAGACTTAAAAAAATATATATAAAACTTTATATATATACACATATATATATATACACATATATACATACACATATGTACATATATATACATATATATATAAAGCTGATCTTTTCCAAAGAAGGTTTACTTGGAGAAAAATGAGCGGGTAACTGGAGACATTTAATGGAGCTTCCAAAGAGAGCTCTGAGCATTCAGAAGTTATTGGCAGGGTTCTTTTGCTCCTTCTGATGTGTTTTTCATTTTGAATATTGAAAGAAACTGAGGGTTTTATTATGCCTAGTTTCACTTCAAAAAATGTCTTACATGTTTCGTGATACAGAAGACTCGCCATCCGTGCACTTGAACCGGCCCAGCATGGTCAGCATTTGTGTTATAGTTGTTGTTACTGGTATTTGTGCAACCAATGAAGCCGAAAAAGAGAAACAGGAACAGGGTTTCTAAAGGCATCTTAGAAAAATGTAGTAGGTAAGAGAAAGAGGAAACGTTTAAAGGGATCTGGTGAGGACTGAAAAAGACCTCATAGGAGGTGAAGTAAAATGGATGCTCCAGGAGAGAGGGCTCGGGGTTGGGGGGTGGTGACAGGGTTTGTCCATGGCTCCCTAAGGGGGCTTTAGATGCTGGCTTCCAGTTGTCCTGTCACAGTTATGGGGTTCACAGAACCCAGGGAGTCAAAAATGGAATGACTTTTATATTTCTAAAATTGAGCCTAAGAAAACCTTTTTTGACTAATGGCAGATAAACTTTTTCCAGATGTTTTCAAATGTTCTCTGCCCAACCCAGTGATTTTTTTTTTTTTTTAGTCAAATTGGAGTATTAATCTCTCTGTCTCTGTTTGTTTTGCAAATACCATCTAGGTATTTTCTTTCAATTCTTTCATCCACCCCACTGCCCCCTGCATCATTGCCTGACGGACAGGGTTTTGTTTTTGTGATGGACCTTGAATGTGAGCCAGATCAAGTCTGGGATGTGTGTGCACGGTGTGAGGTATGTGGGGTGGCCCGGAGGGAACACTGCCTCTCATCTTATAGGCATGGGTGATGTGGGAGAGACTGTTAATTGTTTGCCAACATCAGTATCTTTTATAGAAATAGAACCCTTGATTTTGGATACAAGTCCACTTTGAATAAAGACCTACAGTCTTAGTCAGCTGTAGCAGATGAGAAGTGTACAACATTCAAATTGTCTTCTTCCTTCTCCATTTTCTCTAGCTGGAATTCTGACATGATAATGAACCACCCTGGACCCAGAGGGGAGGATTACGCCCAGGGATGGTGGTGCTGAGATAGAAGGTTCCTAGACAACTTTATGGGGCAGGACGACCACAGCAGATCTAAACTGCTTACCCCTGGCTGTTTCATGATAGAAAAATAAAATCTGCTTTGTTTAAGCCATTCTAAATTTGAAGTGTTGTTACAGTAGCTCAACATCTAGCCAACCTAGCATGTGGTGGAAGGAGGGGAGGCCAATCAAAGTGACGCGATGTTACATATCACATAGAAATTTGATCAGTAGGTGCCAAGAACTGTGTTGAATGGTGAATGGATGTGGACTGTCAGGAAATTCCCAGAGGCAGCATACTGTCTCTGTTGATGCTCAAGAAGTAGCTGAGGCTTTAAAGAACATATTAAAAGTATGGGATTTCCATGCAACGTGATACCTGGAAGTGCACTGGGGATAAGAACTATTGCTGATCACTGCAGTTCAATGAATGACTTAATACAGTCCACGGAAGGAATGATGAAGAAGCCATCCCAGTACTCTTTGGCTGACCTTCAAATCAATTTGAGGTTTAGCATCCCATGTTTGTGGAATTCAGATCTTAAGGAGGACAGATTAATGAACATACTTGCTGTCTGTTTAAAACAATATAACCTGTGTAAATCAACTATACTTCAATTAAAAGAAAAAAAGAATATAGCCTAGAGCAGAGAAATTCTTCAGTTAGGAAGAGAAAGCAAAGTGTTTGTACTTTGCAAATTCACAGACACACTTTTAAGCAAACAGGCTGGACTCTTGGCTATGCAAACAGCAGACACAAAGGAGAGTAGTCCAGCTAGATTTCTACTTCCCAGAGTCCACAGAAATGATGAGGTAGCATTTGGTAGGTGGCATTTGGTTTGGAAACAGAGGCTGTCAGAATTTCATCGTGCCCTTGGACTTGTATGGTAATTCTGCTCCTTCCGAGAACACTTAGGCTGTGTGTACAGTATAGAAAGTTAAATTCTCCAACCAGAGATGAAGCACGCCCTTTGCCTGGAGCTGGATGTGTTCTTTAATCAAATGAGATTGTTAAAGCCACCTACACCATGACTGATGTGAGAGTTTTGGCCAGTGCTCTGGGATGGGCTGGGGATGTGCCCAGCACCCTCTCACTCAGTATGCATCCGGAAGCGCTCCCTTCCTTTCAGCCCAGAGAGAGGCTGTGTCTGGGGAGGGGCGGGAGAGTCTGTGTTGTCTAGGAAGCACAGGGATGCATATCAATCACTCTGTTTGTTGGGTGACACAGACACACTACCCTTTTATCCCATCACTACCCAGGCCTTTCCCATCTAGGATGCGGAATCTGTTACAACAGAGATGCTGCTCTTAGTTACAGTAATAACTCATGTTTGTGAAGTACTTAAGAATTTACAAAGTCCTCTAAGTTATTTGTTTTTACATTGCTAGGAGCCACATTTAGAGGGCGATTTTGAGCCTGGTGTTTGCCATCTTCCAGCCACATCCTTCTACCTGACTCAACAAACACGTGTGAAACTTCTCTCCTGAACCTGTAATGCAGTGGGCTCGGGGATTCCCTCAGCTGGAAACTCCCTGGCTTTTTGCTGGTGATAACTTTGGATGCTGCCACCATCCAAAGCATTGGGGACCCCTCTTGATGACACAAGTTCTCTTCACAAGTATTTCTCTATATACACTCCCGACCCTGTTGGTTGTTAAAAATGGACTTTTTATGTAGCAAGTTCAGATTTTTGAAGAGCACCCCAAATATAGGCAGGTCTGTTATGATAGGGTGTTTGTTTCCGTCATTCATTTCATTTTGCCTTAGCTTAACCCACTTATGAGAAAATTGTATGTTGTTAGAACATGTCACTTCTCAGTGTTTGTTTGTTTTTTTGCATCAATTAATGTCACCAAGGTTGCAGAGGAAACAAAATCCTTTTTAATCTACGGTGACCAGGTCTCTCCCTGAGTCTCAGGACAGGTTGTACCTCTAGCAGACTCGATGACTCTCTGGATTCCAGTTTGTTGATCACAAACCACAAGGGTTCGAGGGAGCATTCCAAATTGCTGCTCTCTCTCTGTTACATCTGGGGATCCGGGAGCCCATACACCCCGAACAAACCCTCGTTTTTATGGTTTCACCTGTTCCCAACACTGTCTCGTTTAGTCAGCGTACGTGCTCCTCACCGAGCTTACATACCCAAGTGTCTTATTGGTATATCTGCCTGTCCATGCACGTGGGCAAGGTGTTCATCAGCTTTTGCTTAATGCAAATGCTCACTGTGACCATTTCAACTTCCGGTTTCTATCGTGTTACTTCTCTGCATGGAGACTGATAAAATGCGTGTGTGCGACACAGCCCCCGACACCAGCATCCCTAGCACTTCCCCCGCTCCTACCCTCCACGCTGGTCTTGGCCCCACTCACCAGCCGTCGAGGAGACGACCACAATGCTCCCATTGCTCTGCTTCAGCATGGGCAAGGCGGCCACGCTCAGGACCACGTAACTGAGGAAGTTGACTTCCATGATTCTACGCACGAGCTGGATGTCATCACTAAATAGATCCACAGGAGTGCTGGTGATGTGGTTGAGAATCAGCATGTCGAGTCCCCCTGCAAGAGATGGCGGGGTGGAGAGAAACCATCTGAGGCTGATACCTCCACACCGCCGCCCCCACTGAAAGCTTCCTGGTGATCCCTAGGGCAAAGTCCAGAAGAGGAGACAGGAGATGCTGTCTCACCCATGAGCTTTCCAGCTTTGGCAACAAATTGCTCTGCGAAGGTCATGTTCTCCATGGTGCCAGCAACGTAGTGTGCCGAGGCTGCTCCGAGCTCCAGGCAGTGGGACACAACCTGCAGGGGCACAGCGGCGACCATGGCAGTCTCGGCTGCGGACCTTTGGGCGGCAGTCTCTGATGTGATGGGGGTTAAATGAGAGGTTGCTCAAGGCCCTATTTTGATAAGAAGGGGTGTGTGTGTGTGTGTGACACAATATGTGTCCTCTGTTTGAAATACTATCTGGAACAAGGTAGGGTACAAATGGATAAATCACTGTGCTGGGGTTTAAGTCCATGATTTGTGCTCAGGAGTTTCTGTGAACGGATTTTTTTCTGAACACATTATTGCTACGGATGCTAGTTTCTGTGTGGGGAGCCCTAGATTTGTGAATATTTGTATATGCTTGGGTTTGTGAGTCTGATTGTAGAGGAAGGTATGAGTCTGCATGGGTACAAGGATATGGATTCATGAGTAAGTACTAGATGTTGGTATCTGAGCACGTGTGTCTATGTCTGTGACTCCATGTGGAAATATGCATGAAGAGGCATGTCTGTGAGTGTATATAGCCCAAGAATTTTGTGTCTATATATGTGTGCATAAGAATGAATACTTGAATACATATTTTTATATTCCTGTGGGTGTTTGGGTACTTAAATCCTGTGTGTGTGTGTGTGTGTGCGCATCTGGGTATGACTGTGCTGGCTTCTGTGTGTTGGCATATATATATAAGTATATATAAGAACACATCTGGGCATGTGAGGGTACATACAGCTGTGGGCATAGGACCCTCACCTTCTTTAGACCTTCTTCTGACCTCGCTGTCACTGCCACATGGGCTCCCATCTTCGCCAGGTGGTAGGCCATCTCTCTTCCGATCCCCTTGCTGGCCCCCGTGACAATCACTTTCTTTCCTTGAAGCATCTCTGGGAAACCCCAAAAGGAAGTGAGGACCACGCGTGGCAGCACCATTCCTCCTCCCACTCTGGAGGTGGGCAGCCTTCTCTCAATGTCTAAACGTTATGAGCCCAGATCAATTTATCTCAAATTGCATGAATCAGTGAAGGAACAATTCAAGTCTTTCATAAGCATTCTCTGAAATCGGGGTTAGTGTTGGTTGCTCAAAACCTTTAAAAAAAAAAACCCTATGGACAGAGGATTCAGCTAAAACCCTGGAGTTCCAGACATTTCTCTGCTCATCCAGTTGCTCAATTGAAATAAAATTCAAAGGTCATCAAAACACATGTGCTCATAGAGATTCCAGGGATTTTCTCTTGCTTCTATTTAGTCATCAAGTCCAGAACTCTTTCTTGTTTCCCACTTACCCACTTACCCGTCTCTCCACAGAGCCCAATTATCTAGTTAAGCTGTGAATTTTGGAATTACCCTCATTTTTGTAGGGGATCTGAAATCACTTTCGATTAAGGATGCCCCATAAAACACAGACTATTTGGTCATCTTCTAGCTACATGCTTATCCCGCCCCACACCTCTGTTACCCAGCCTGTGGCTGGGGGACAGAGAAACACAGTCTTACCTCAGGGTCCCCTCTTGGGCAGCAACTCTGGGGATCAAGAACTCATTTTGGTCCTCAAAAGCCCTCTAGCCATCCCTGAGGTTTGAAATCTGTTTCACCAAAATTAGGCACATTGGTACTCACCTGGTCTGAATTCCTCATTCGCAGAATAGAAGTAGTAGGCCAAGATGATCCCCAGAACGGGGAGGAGATATTTTTTCATAAAAGCCATCAGAGAGGGACCTGGCCCGAGGAGCCCTGTAGGACACACAGAGAGAACCTACAGAGCTTTCTACAACCTCCTCGGCAGGCGGCAGCCTCTGAATTGTGACATCAGGAACGGGGGAGGCTGGAGTAGGCTCAGGCAGCGCTAGCCAATTTCCCTGTCAGAGCCGCGATTGGCTTTGGGTGGGATCCCACTTGTCCCTGGCAGCCTGCATGGTGGATTTCATAATGGACAATGTTTACTCCATTTCATTGAGCAAGAAGAGACTTCCAGATGGCCAAGTTCATGACTGTACAGGACTGGATTCCTGAGCATCCCTACCCTGAGCCCGTCTTCCTCCTAACGCCGTTTACGCCAGGAATCAACGGCCTTTCAAAAGTGGGGTATATCAAAGGTGGAGAGGAAGTGTGTGCGGGGCTTCTGGGGAAGTGTGAGTAATAGCAGAGCGAGCCAAAGTCAAGCAAATCTCACACTCAGCCCCACCTCCCAGTCGGAAGCAATTAAAAATAACAGCACAAAACAGAAAAATAAGCTTAAGAAAAAAAAAGCACAACTTGGGGGGGGGAAAAGAAAACAAACAAGCCTCTAAGTCCCACACTCAAATTCAATGAACAATATTACAGCATCAAAGGGGACTGCAAGGCGGCCAGAAAGCTGATGGCGGGAAATCCATGCCCGGTCGAGACTCTCAGGCAAGTGCAACGGAATGTACACTTCTTACTTTAGCAGCAAATAAAGAAGAAATAATGAGTGCCGAGGAGAAAAGGCATGAAGCTATTAAACTAGGTCTTATAAAGGCTATAGAGGACCAAGAAACATGGAGGCAACGGTAGGAAGAGGGGGTCTGATGCGAAAAAAAAAAAAAGGAACAAATACCATTGAAACAAAACTAGCCTGAAAAGCCCTCATCCAGCTAAAAATTGATCTAGTAACAACAATAAAAGGACTGGGGTTGGGGAGAAACCCCTATTAATTTAGAATTTATTGCAGAAATACAGAAATAACCACCTTGCTATGTCTGTAGCAAGAATTCATTTAGGAACAGCCCTCAAAGAAAATTTAAAATATATTATCATTCAGTTTTTCAACTTAGAAGCAACTAACTGAAGTATAAACATTACCCTGTCACAGAGCAAATCCAGAATTCTACAAGTTACCAAAGGAGCCGAGAAAGCCATTTACATGTAGTGATAAGAGTGAGGATCAATGCACTGAAGGAGGACGTTGGGTCGAGGGTGGGGGTTGGAGGATTCACACAAGATTAAGAGAAACTGAATTATGACTCCAAGTCTGGTATCTGGAAACCCTCACTGAATTTTCACTTCAGAACAAGGGAAAATAATTTAAGACCCAGAGGAGATGAAATAATTTGTCAACAAAGGCCCACAGCTGTGAAGTTCACTTCCAGACGACAGTGGAGGTTTGAGAACAGTTGAGGACTCGATGGAGGACAAAATAGGGAAAAAAAATAAAAAAATAATCAAGTGGAAAATTGCATTATATTGTGTCAGAACTGCAAAAAGCAAATACACTGCTTTATAAAGGACTTTATGCCACCAAGCTGTGTTACACACTAGACTCTAGAGGAAAAGGAATTTCAGTTTTATTTTCTTCATAGTATACTGCTAATAGCAAACAAAGAAGAACCCGTGAAAAATTGCTTTCAAATACGATGATGCTAAAATGATAGGAAGATGATCAGACCAGGGAAGGGAAGTTTCTTGTCCGACAGAAAAGAATTTTAAAATACCCTACAGAAAATATAAATTAAAAAAGGGCAAAAATAACAGCAAGCCGGATGAACTGCAGGTGATAAACGCATTGACTGATGCTGATTGCTGGCTGAATTAAAAAATGAAGTCCAGCCTTGTACTGCCTCAAAAGACACATTTAAACACAGACACATGAAAAAAAAAGAAAAAGCCCCACAAGCAGATTAATAATGAGATGGCCAAATAGCTGTCATGCTGGGGACTAGGGATAGAGAGTGAGCATCCAATAAAATAATTTTCATGGACTTCAATGAAATAATTTTTAATCAGTGAAATGTGTTAACGAGAGATGAAACCAATGTGCAATGGCAGATGACACTTTCCATCTTAGCCGTTCTCAAGAGTTTCGGTCTCAGGATCCCTTTACAGTCTTAAACGTTACTGAGGATCTCAAAGTATTTTTGCATATGTGGTTTTACCCATTGATATTGGTACTGATGTATAAGAAATTAAGACTGAGAAAAAAATTTTTTAACCCAAGAATACAGAAGCATCCATGTATTAGCTTTGTATTATTACACAACCTGTAGGCTGGGGAAACTCATGAGAGGATGCGAAGGAAAAAGGGTGACTGATGTTTTAATATGATTATGGAAATAGTTTTGACCTTCCAAACTCCTAAGAGGGTCTTGGGGACCCATGGGGACCACACTTGGACCACATCATGTAGTTACCATGGGTCCCCTGTACGTCTGTAGTTACATGCCTGGTTCTCTCATTACCTTGTAAACTCCTGGAGCGCATGCACTATGTCTTTTTCATCTTTGTCTCTCTCCGTCCCTCTCACCTTGCTCCAAAATAGGCTCGGTGAACTTGTGCTGTTTCAGGGTTTCTGAGGCACTGCAGCCATGAGAAAATTGCTGTCTTTCTGGAGCCTGATTTAATCCAGGGAGGTTGCTGGGATTTAGCGTTCTGTCCAGAACCGATCAACCCCTGCCCCCTAATTCTCTTCTAGTGGTGCTCAACAAATTGGAAAAGAAAAAAAAAAAGGCAAAAGGGAATTTGAGTGTTTCACCTAGCATTTATCTCCAGTCAGATTTTCACCAATCAAGTAACGTTCCTTTTGCTGCCATAGCGACAAAGCAAGCTGCGCATTCCTTCACGCCACCCCTCCTTTGTAAAGCACTGACCATCTATGTTTTAGAGCAGGCTCTCGGTGAAATGCCTTCCACGTGACATGGCCATTTCAAAACCCCACAGAGAATGGGTCCCTCTCAGCTGGAGGTGCGTGTCTCTCCGACTTGACCACCCCCATAAAGAAGAGGCCCGTAAAGGGGAGAGGACTGACTCCAGCACAGCAAGAAGGGGAGAAAGGGAAAGGGCCTCTGAGGGACGGGTCAGATCTGGGAGGACTACCAGGAGGTGGCAAACATGTGAGGAGAAGGAGATGGGCAGGTAGGAAAGGCTTCAGAGAAGAGGTTAACCTTGAGCCGTATTGGAACAAGAGCGGGAATGCCCCCGGCAAAGGCAGAAGGGTCAGGGTGAGCACTGAGTTGGGTCCCAGGAGCGTGCAGGGGAGAGGGGAGGGTTGGTTTCAGAACGTTCCACGCAGAGGAAGCTGTGTAAGAAAACAGAAGGAGGTGTGGAAGAGAGTGACATGTTGGGAAACTGCAAACAATTCCATATGGCAGGATGACTGAATTTCCAGGGATGGGGTTCCATGGGGAGAAACCAGCCTGGAGAAGTCAGCAGGAACCACATCCTTGAGGACCCTGTACTTCCAGACATGAAACCTCTGCACCCCGTGGTCTCCTCATCCCCATCCCAGGACTCTGCCTGTTCCCTGGCCCTTTGTACTCCCTCATGACCTTACGCTGACAGTTCTGGGTCCCCTGTCCTCTTCAGGCTCGTCAGTCCAGCCCCACTCCCTCCATCAACACCTCACTCTCCCCGGGGCTGTGCTGGACGTGGCCTTGACCACTGTCAGCTTGCAGCTCTGGACCTGTGCCCAGCGATGTTTCTTGGGCTCCCCCCACCCACACCCAGCTAGATTTTCCTCCCATGTGCTCCGCTTCTTGGTTCTATTTACTTACCTGACTTCTCAGGAGCCCCTTCCGCTCCTGCCCCTCTCTCCCTTTCCGAAGCATCTTCTTCCCTTGGATTCTGTCCGTATATACTCTCTGGGCTTTCTTCCTATTCCTTTGACTGCTGCTTCTTGTGTTCTTTATACACTCTCTCTACCTTTTGGATTCCTTGAATGTTGGACTTGGCTTTGATTCCGTCCTCACTCTTTCCTTCTCTCTCTGTCTTTTGTTTGTGGCTTCTCCCACTCTCATGACTCCACTTGCTGTCTTTATGCTGATGAGTCTTAAAAACCTCTATCCTGTGCCGCATTTTCTCCTAAGCTTCCGGTAGACTAACTACCTGTTTCGTCTCACCACTCTACCCCCATTCCTTCTTATCCTTCAGATTCTACCCTTCAGAGTATCCCTTGGACACCTAAGGTGCTCCCCAAACACCGGTTATTTCTCTTGTCAGAGCTTCCATCCCTTTGTCTTCATAGTTGCTCATTTGTCTGTTTTCCCCTTACATGCAGCTCTGATGGAGGGCTGAGACCTGGTCTACGTCCAGTATATCCCCAGTGCTTAGCACTGTGCTTGGCACACGGTAGGTACTCAAAAAGAATTTTCTGAGTGTTTAATGGAAAGTGACTCCTATACATACAGACAAAGATGTCTGCTAGGTATTTGAAGGTCAGGAGAAAGGTCTAGGCTAGAGATACAGATTGGGGAGAATTAAATCATATTCTTTCAAGTTCAAACCATAGGAGTGGATGACAACCCCAGGGAGAGGACGAAGGGCACTGTGGGACATTACAGAAGATGAGAGCTGGTGGAGGGGAGCAGAGGGGAAGCAGGGAGCAGAAAGACCAGAGAGAACAGAGAACCTGGGGCCGGGGTAGGACGGTGCTCTCAGTGAGATGCCAGAGGTCACAGCTTTGAAGCTTCTGTGAGGTTGAGGAGGATGACAAGTGGCAAAAACACTTTGGGTCTGGATATAGGAATCACTGGAGTCCTGTTAGAGAGTTCTGAAAGCACTAAAGCCGGAATGCTGTGGCTTGCAGAGTGCTGGACATGAGGAAAGAAAATGTTTAGTGTGAGCGTGGGGAAGCGGGGACTTTTGAGGAGCTCTGGAAGGCGGCAGATGGGAAGGAGGGTTCTGAGTTTTTAGGATAGCAATGAGTTAAATTTTCATTCCCGTTTTTGAGCATTTTCTCTGTGCCAGATACTGTGCTAAGTTCAGCATGTTTTCAGCTTGTGGGAAAAATCCAACAAAGTTCATAGACAGCATCACTGAAGGGGCATGATTTAGGGGTCTGAGGATCTGGCACGTGACTCCAGAAAAGAAAAATCGAGGAAGTAAAGCGAGGGTGGATATGGAGCTCTTGTCCTCTGCTTCCAATTCAGTGAGCCTTATAGCTTAGTGAGTTTCCTTCGATTTTTTTTTTTTAAATTGAAGTATAGTCAGTTACAATGTGTCAGTTTCTGGTGTACAGCACAATGTTTCAGTCATACATATTCATACATATATTCCTTTTCATATTCTTCGATTTTTGAGAGGCAGGTGGGTGTGGCTTCCCTGT